TATATATATATATATAGAATAATATAAATTACATGAGAGTTCAATTTGTTACATCTAATCCCAACAAAATCAATTTAGCCAATCATTGTCATGAAGGGCACAAAAAGAAAATAAGATGTATGGTGGAAGATGGAGAGCCAAAGAAAGAATTGAAGCCCTTCAAGCAAGCCCTAGCAGCCACTACGAAAGTCCTCCCTTGTCCTTTGATTTTAGAATGCCTTCTACCCCTCAAAGAGAGGAAAAAATGAGCCAAAACTATCACGTCATAAAAATCTCGCCCGGCGTAGGTTAAGTCCTGTAAACATGAGCTTTTAGACACAAAATATAAGCTTTATGCTAAGATCACGCCGGGTGTGAGTCGATCTGCACCCAACCCTGAAGTCCCCATGTCGCTCTACAAAAATCATGCTCAACGCAAATGTAATGATGCCCAACGTTGAAGAAAGTGATGCACTCTGTCTGGATAGCATCGAGTTTGCTTAGAGTGGCGCCCAACACTAGGGACCTTCACAGCTCTTCAACTTATCTTCTTTATTGCTTCCAAGCATTTTCTCTCACTTGGCACTTCTCTGACTTCCTAACAATATATGCTAGACAAAAAATTAGGAATTAGTGGTATAATCAAATGTTAATAACCAGGATCCAATTAATTACAAAAACTTAAAAAAGAAAGGCTAAACTTGTTAAAAGTTAGAGAATAGTTGATTTTGTTAATATAATTGACTAATAATTCTAGGTGAAAACTAACATTATCACTTATATTATAATGTATATCTTAGGGGACATTAGTAGTGGAGAAACTTTTAGTTTCTTGTAAATCTTAATCAAGAATATTGGTTTCCTATGCTTGATATCTAATTTTAATTAAAAGGGAAAGTTTTAATTATATAAAAAGACTAAAATGTCTCTTTTTAAAATAGAAAATATACGGCGAGGGTTCATCTTCTTCCAAAATATTCAATATCTATTGTTCACAATATCAACCTTTTAATATAGTTTGAAATTTTATCAAATGCAAATGCTATTATATATAAAATTTGTTTGCATATGTAATTAATTTTTTTATTATCTTTAAAAAGTAATTAGATCAAAAAAAAGTTGAATGTCATATTTGTAATAAGATTAGAATAAAAAATATAGTTAATGAGGATTTTTTAATTAAGGATAATTTTGTAAAAGATATTTATATATCCTACAAAATATTATTGTAATCAAACGTGAAAATTTTTAATTCGCACGAAACATGTATAAATATTCTAAAGGATATTTATGAGAAACCAAACATATTTTAACTATCCGTTTAGAATGTGTTCTGTCGAAGACTTACTCGGTCATAATGGGCTAGTTTGAGTCCTGCTTGGCTCATATATTTGTAGAGTTGGCTCGGTCGGGCTAGGTATGTAAGCCCCCCAAGCTCCAAGTTTGTTAGGGTGAAGGAGTTGTAAGTGAGGTCGTTTCTATTTAGGATTTGTGGGGGGCTCAGTCAGGTTGGTTGGTACAAGGAGTATTAGCCTTCAGATAATCTTACATGAGTTTTAATGGCGTCATGTAGATCTAGATAAGTCTATATCCATAATATGAAGTGTATGAGTTATGAATGTATATGAATTGAATGATTCTTTATTATCATTACCTATAACTTTGTGGTACTACTTACATTCTTAATATCATTTGTATATGTTGTATGACTTGTGAATGTGAATACATATGCTTGATATGTAGGTGAGTTATTGTTTATACTATTGAGGTTATAATTATGTAATTGATATTATATATCTCATTATATGTTTAATTATGTGTAGGGCTACCTGACCTTATCTCACATTGGGATATAGAGTGAAACGTATCTCACTCCCCTTATTCTACTTATTAGTCTTTATATATGTTTTGCAGGAGGATCATCAGGATGATGATGATGATGCTGGTGATGAGTCTTAAGACTTAGCATGTCTATGGGTGTGCTCTAACATAGGATGTGACATCATGAAGTTGGAATTTACAATTTATGTTCTATGTTCATTGAGGTATTATGTTTAAACTTGTTATTTTGTTTAGGAACCTTTCTTAGATCCTTGAAGTTTTATAGTAAACTTGAATGTCAATTAAATTTTGAGTTGTTCTTTACTTATGTCAACTTTTCTAAACGTGCAAGTTAGAACTTGATTTATATTTATGAAACAAATGTGAGTCCTCTACCTAAGAAGGCGTTTTGAGAAATCCTTTCATCTTATTATTGAAGTTCTTATTCATATTTTATGTTGTTTACTATTATTTACATATTAGGGCCAAAAGTTGCATCAAGACATTCTCATACTATTTTGGACATAAGTTTATCATCTTAAGCTTGATTTGAGTATATCATATCTCTTTGGAAAGATAACTTGATAAGATTCAATCTGATTCAAAAATATATCATATCTAGTCACCATGGGATCAACATGGTCCATTGGGATATCCCTACTAAATGTAACTGTTAGAGTTAATAACTCTCTGTGGCCTCCACCATCTAGTAACAATAAGAACTTTTTTTAAAACATATTTCAAAAAATAAAATAAAATAAGTTGCTTAAATGATATTAATATAAGGTTAATTAATTTATTTAGTTAAGCGTATAATATAAGGAAAAATGTATTTATTACAATAAAATAAAGATAGACTATGAGTTTGTGGGTTAGTCTTTGGGTTTGGACTTTAGAGCGCAACCTGGAGTCTACCTTTTTTACAAAAGAAAGGAGGAAGGGTTTAGGTCATATTATCAGTTTTCTAAAACCCTAAGGCAGAGAAAACCCTAGCAAAAAACTATGAGGAAAGTATGGAGTAACTTTGGATTATAAAGATCATGCCTTTTGCCTTTGATATCTTCATCAAAAGCAAGACGGTAAGTGAAAAATGTCTTACATTAGGGGTAACTATACAACTCTCATTCTTTTAGGTTTCCTATACCTATATTGATCCTATCAAATTCAATTACAAATTATAAGTTTAATTTATTACTTCTAATTAAATTATATTCAACTATAGAGCGCATCATATTACCAATTCAACCAAATTGACTTCAATCCTCCAACAACTCTAAACACCCCAATTACCCATGTTTCATTATAGGACAAAACTCAAGTACAGTTCCTTAAGTGAAGTTGGTGTTCTTCTCCAATCAAAATTGGAGTTTTACCTTGATAACATGTACTTGCATTTAACGTAAATCTCATTAATATACATTAATGCATATTATTGAGGTAAAGTTTCCCTTCTGATTGCAAAACAACACTAATTGCACCTAAGAAACTGAACTTAAGTTTTTCCCTTCATTATATTAGGTCAAACAACTAATATTCATTCATTACCCATTCATAATTGGGGAAAACACTATGAATTGATAGAAAATACACAAACCAAACAATACTAATCATACAATATTAATTATGATCAATTAATCCAAAAATCGTAATTACCAAGAACATCCAAACATCAAAGGAATTCAATTGATGATAGTAAAATACTCATAATAAATCAAATGGAATAATCAAACAAAAGCTTTAGGGTGTCCACAACTCATCTAAGAGAGATACAAGTATACATTTAAGTGTGATGAATATAATAGTTTGAGAGACAAGAGATTGATAAGAGAGACTACACTATAATTTTAATTTATATTGGTTTGGTCTAAACCGAGACCTACATATAGTTCTCGAATCACATTTGAGATTTCTCACTAAAGTTTACATAATAGAAAATTGTTTACTCTAAAAAAAACTCTCGTTGATAACTAGAGTTATCAAATGGGTCAAGTAAACTTAGCCTAACTTGACCTATATGAGCCAAATGACGATTTTAGGCTAAGCACTGACCTATATTACTTTCAGATTGTTATTTTTTGATCCAATCTAATCTATGTCGGCCATCATATCATTAGATTAAATTGCCGTAATAAAAAATTAAAAAAATAAAAAATGATTTTATATTTAAAAACATAAAAAAATTAAATATATTTTATAAAAAAACTGATTAACAATATTTATTATTATTACTAGTGGGGCCGAGGCACTTCGTGCCTCTATATCTTATATGGATTGAAACAATCACCAAGAGCTTGGTTTGGAAGATTTACAAAATCTATGAAGTCTTTTGGCTACACACAAAGTAATTCTGATCACACCTTGTTTCTCAAGAATAATCAAGGTAAAATCACTGCATTGATAATATATGTTGATGATATGATTGTGACTGGAAATGATCTTGATGAAATTTCAAGTCTTCAGGAATCTTTAGCTTCTGAATTTGACATGAAACAACTTGGAGATCTCAAATATTTTTTAGGGATCGAAGTAGCAAGGTCAAAACATGGTATCTTTATTTGCCAAAGAAAATATGTTTTAGACTTGTTAACTGAAACAGGAATGCTTGGATGTAAACCTGTTGATACTCCTATAGAGAAAAATCACAAGAATTTTCATTGTGTTGGTACAGCTAGTACAGATAAAGGAAGATATCAAAGGCTGGTTGGGAAGTTAATCTACTTATCTCATACTAGGCCAAACATAGCATATGCGGTCAATGTGGTGAGTCAATTTATGCATGACCCAAGAAAACCTCATATGGATGCAGTTGAACGAATATTGAGGTACTTAAAATCTGCACCTGGAAAAGGTTTGTTGTTCTCAAACCATGGCCACCTCAAAGTTGAAGGCTACACTGATGCTGATTGGGCTGGTTCAAAAAATGATAGAAGGTCTACTGCAGGCTACCTCACTTTTGTGGGAGGAAATCTTGTAACTTGGAGAAGTAAGAAACAAGAAGTAGTTGCTAGATCAAGTGCAGAAGCAGAATTCAGAGGGATGGCAATAGGAATATGTGAATTGTTATGGATTAAAAATCTTTTGAAGGATATTGGATATGAACAAAAGATGAAATGAAGTTGTACTGTGATAATAAATCAGCCATACAAATTGCTAACAATCTAGTCAAACATGATCGTACAAAACATGTGGAAATTGACAGGCATTTCATTAAAGAGAAGATTGAAGGTGGTATTATTGCCTTTCCTTTTGTAAAATCAGAACAACAACTTGCTGATATGCTTACCAAGGCAGTAACATCCAATGTTCCTATTAGTTCTCTTGACAAGTTGGGTATGTGTGATATCCATGCACCAACTTGAGAGGGGATGTTGGAATTGATTAGTTCCTTTTTAGAGATTAGTTGTAATTTAATTATAATTGATCCAAATCTTTTTCTTATCTTTTTATTTGTATCTTTTGATTCTGTTTTGATCTTATCTCCTATAATCATGGAGAGATTGTAAACAGAATTATGTATATATTCATTGCCTCATATCAATAATAAAGTACCAAGAAACCATTTTTAATACCAATCATATCTTTTAAATTATTTTATTTTATTATTATTTCATTAAATAAGCAACTGACATACCACTATTAAAAGATATGATTGGTTGTCAGTGTAAAAAAACTTTACACTAGCAGTGTATAGGTAATTAACTCTAATAAAAAGTACATATTCACACAATTTTTAATAAAAAAAAGATAAAAAATAAATTTAATATTTTATAAAAATTATAAAATATCTAATAAATTATATTATTATTTCTTTCTAAATTTTGTTTTATAATATGAAATGTTTTTATTTTTATTTTTACTACACCATTAATCGTGAATAAAGTTGTAGTCCCCGTCTCTTAAGTTTTTTAATTTTTAATTTTATAATTTTAGTTTTAAATTTAATAAAATTTATAATTTTAACCTATTAGTTTTTTACCCTTATAAGTATAATATTGATCATGATATTAAATAAATTATATGATAATTAATACTATATTTGGTCCTAATTATAACTAATATAGGATATATTATTTAGATTAAAAAATTTAATTAAATTAATATTTTTAATTAATTCTATCATAAATTTAAATTTTATTTACTGTAGGTTGTAGATGGGTGTTTACCATCAAACATAAAGCTGATGGAAGTGTTGAAAGGTATAAAGCAAGGTTAGTTGCAAAGGGCTACACTCAATCCTATGGAGTTGATTATCAAGAAACCTTTGCACCAGTTGCAAAGCTCAATACAGTAAGAGTGTTATTATCTCTAGCAGCAAATCAAGATTGGCCACTTCTCCAATTTGATGTAAAAAAATGCCTTTTTACATGGGGATTTAATGGAAGAAGTATATATGGATGTCCCTTCGGGTATACCAAAGTACTCAAGTATTCCTATGGTGTGCAAGCTTAAAAAAGCCTTATATGGATTGAAACAATCACCAAGAGCTTGGTTTGGAAGATTTACAAAATCTATGAAGTCTTTTGGCTACACACAAAGTAATTCTGATCATACCTTATTTCTCAAGAATAATCAAGGTAAAATCACTGCATTAATAATATATGTTGATGTGTGTTTTGACTTTTTTTAGGATAAAAAATATGTTTTTTTTTCTTGCTTGAAAGTATAGGGAGTGATGTTGTAGAAGAATCATGTGCAACCCAGTTAGATACGATAATTGTGTGATTTGGTGAGAGAAAAAAAACATTATCTTACAAAACTTTGGATTGGGACTTATAATAGAGTGATAATGGATTTGGTTTATAATTTTTTTTGAAAATAACATACTTAACGACGACTATTTGTGTGATTATTATTTTGAAAGAAAGTAACCACCGTATGATTATTATTTTGAAAGAAAGTAATCACCTTACGGTTATTATTTTGAAAGAAAGTAACCACCTTACGGTTATTATTTTGAAAGAAAGTAACCATCAACATCAATAATAATAAGGGGTAAAATTGGATAAAAGAAAGTGGAGACCAAATATTTATAAGTTTTAAAATATTATTTCTTGTAATTTTAAAACTATTAAAAATTAAATAAAATTCAAAATTCAAAATTATGCAAATTTTAAATTCAAATTTTTAATAAAATATGATTATATATTTAAAATTTTAAATCTATCAAGATAATAAGTTTAAAAATGAATTTTTATAATTTAAAAGGAAAAAAATGAATTTGGAAAATAGAGATATCTTAAATTTGAATTTTTAAAAAGTTGAATAAATTTAAATTTACTGTAAAAATAATGCAAAAAATCATGGTAAAAAATGACTAAATTTACATAATTTAATGTAGAATTTTTTTAATGAGCGTGAGAAAATAGAATTGAGAAAAGAGAATCGACCTGAAAAAACATGGCTGAGGAATCTGAGCGAAAGAGAGAAAGTCTCAATCCTTAGACGCAATTGTGAAACTGCCAATCCTTGAAATCCTTCCCATGTTGTTATCCCATCTATTCGTACTCATTCTACGTCAAAACCAACGAACAATGATGGTCGTAATGTATACAATTGGTGAAATGTTTATTGTGGGCAATTTAAGTGGATTGAAAAATGAAAAAAAAAAAGTAGAAAGGTTTGAAGGAAAAACAAAGAGACAAAGACGATAACAGGATATGATAGAGAGAATAAAAAGAAGAAGAAAGGTGTGAGGGGTTTGTTGCGAGAAGAAAATAATGAAATGAAGTGGCTGGTGGGGGAGGAACAATTTCCTTTCTCTCGAATCTCGACTGCCATGAGAAAGGATGTACCATGAAATGGAGGATATATTATGCAGGGATATGAAGTCACTTTAACAAAATAGAGAGGAAGCAAGAAAGAGAGGAATGTGAAAGTACGAACAATGAGTGCAATTACTTAAATAATATGTGGTTAAAAGAAATAAAAGTGAGTAGTTACTTAAATAAAATGACATAATTACTTGTATTAATTATTTAATATGTAATATTATTAAGGATAAAAAGGTCATAGTAAAAGTGGAGACCAAATGGTAGTTACAAACGTTTGTATCCCCTTTATATAATGTTATAGATTAATATTATTATTTATTTTAGTGAAAATATGAATGTTTTAAAATTTGAGCGCACATACACACATAGAGAGAGTGTATATTACATCAACAAAATCTAGAGTAAAACTTAACTTATTTTTCTTCAATAATTTTTTTTAAAGATAACAAAAAGAAAGAAGAATATATTACATCTTAAAACTTAAATTTCAACGTATTATGTTTTAATTTATATTTTTTAATATTATTATTTTATTTTTTATTTTTCTATCAGACCAACTTAAACTTTGCATTCAATTTAATCTAAATCCATTTCACCTATCAATCATGCGGATTGAACTAAAATAACCAGATTCTGGTTAAACCATTTTTTTTTTAATTAAGACTCAATATGTTCTTATTAACCGAGTGGCCGGACTAATCCATGAAACCGAGTGTAATTTATCAGCTCTATTAACATCTCAACCCAAACGCTCGTGGAAAAATAATAACGATTGAACCTTGACAATATTATTAATTAATTATCACATCATGTCTGATTCGTGCCTTTACAAAAGTTGATTTCATGATTTCGAATTTATACTATTTGTTGGATCGAGAATTTTCGTGAATATGTACATGCCTTCAGAAGATGTATAAAAACATGTTACTCAAATCTAAGACGTATAAATACACTTTGACTATTTATTATTTATATAAGTCAAACATAAATAAGCATTCACAGTCTTTTATTTAGCCCAAGTAAAATTTTTCAATTTATATATTTTAATCATGATCACTTAATTATGGGAAGTGCACTCTATGGACAAATCATATCAAATAGTACGCACTAGACAGCCAAAAAAAAAAGAATGTAACCAATACACATTAGATGCTTTACTTTATTTCAACAAATCAAAGATAACATGAGATAAAAATATAGGCACTTAGAAAAAAAGCATATTCTCAGTTAGTTTTTATCCAAATGATTTCTCTAGAGACTAAAAACTTCTAGCACAATGAACTTAGGCTAGTGTCATATATGCATGAAGCATTAAGCAATTAAGCTATATGGGTTTAGCAACACATGCTTTTAATTACCAAGTTTTTTCGTATCATACCATTAAAAAGAAGGCGAAATTATTCAAATCCATCTAATGATTATTGGTTTATGGGTGCGTTTTTAAAGGAATTTAATATGGATTAAAATATTATTTTCGTTGAAATTCTTTTTGGTATCATGGCTTAATAGAACCTATTGAAAGATGGCAATGGATCTGCAATAAAAAGATTGGAACACACCGTTCCATAGACCCCATCATCAATTCTCATTATAAATTAGTGCACTTGTTGCTCCTCTATGGGTTGTTCAAGTTTTGAAGTTATTCCACAACTAGACCCTTCACAATTGCACACTGGGATTCATTCATAGTTATCCAACCTATTTACAAGCGGTTAGGACGCTTTCAATCGGTGTATTTTGGGTCCATTTGCTACCGAAAACCTCTCCTTGATGTCTTACAATAGATACCATGCGTCTTGGTATAGAATATTGTAGAGACCTAATTTTCATTTTCATTATTGACATGATTCACATGGTATCTAAAGTTAACCATCAATAACTAATTTATGTTCATTAGAAGTTGACTTTTATCATTTAAATTATTGTTTTAACACAGATGAGAAGTAAACATGAGAGCTATAAGTAATCCCATAAACACTAAAAATGAAAATTTAGAAAGAAATAAGATAAAAAAAAAATTGTAATCATAAAAATATAAAAAAAAAAATGATTTAAAACACAAAATAATCAAAGAAAAGAAAAGAAAGAAAATGAAAAGGGCAAAAAATTATATGTAACATAGAGATACAAAATAATAGGGAGTTGCTCCTTTACGTTTGGGCCTTAAGCCCTTTGGTCCACTATCATTAAAACACTAAAGAATATTAATGTAAAAAAAAAATAAAGATTTTCAGCCTTAGCTATGTTGGGTAATACAACCAAATGCTTTGTTAGTGATTCTTGTTTTACCACAGGAACAATCCCATCAAGAAGAACAGATAGTTTACTCAACAAGAGAATAAA